ACATAACCACCCCAAACTTGTGCTCAAGATGTATTGGTTATTGCATGTACTCCGTAAATTAGTCTTCATGGGGGCACAATAATCCCTTTACCGTTACCCCCCTCCCCAATCCTACCATCAACAGAAGTCATTACACATGACTGACTCAGCAGCACATGGCTGAAATCTCCCAACCTCCCACCCCAACAGTTACATACATGCATACACACATACAGAGATTCCGACACGGTGAACACATCAAACCACGCATTCCGTCACACCAAGTGTCGCAAGGATCGATATATCGACATAGACACAGACACGACGCCTACACAGGCAAAGGGACGTTCAAGACGCCTATAATCTTCTGTCTCTGCATGAAGCCTGAGGACTCTTCCTCTTGTCACTGTGTATGCCGCCCGTGTTCAATCCTATGCTAATTTATTTCTTTTTATTGCTAGTGGGGTGGAACTAAGTCCCTTGTACTGCGGCCACTTCTGGCCTATTGCACCAGCCCCAGATGATAGGTGAGGGTGACTGTGGAGCAATTGGTGGAATGAAGATTGGCAGGGGAAACCGAAGTACTCGGAGAAAACCTGACCCAGCGCTACTTTATCCACCACAAATCCCACTTGACCAGACCAGTTCAGAGCTACCAAAAAAAAAAGTACAAACCCCAATTTCGATTCGACATTCCTACACAACCTTACAGGTTTCTTGGATATCGGCCCTCAAACAGAACACATTTCTCATGTCTCAGTTTACACGGAACTACTGGAAGAATTGTTATATGCACAAAACCAATCTCTGATCTCAAAGCGAATGATCATTACTTGAGGCATACTTTTCGTCAAATTCTGTTTTACAAACACCTTGTAATTACGACAGAATTCATGCCACCAACATGAATCCTGTTTTGCAAAAACTTCCTACCCATAGCCTATCCACTTCCCTTTCATTACACGGATGTCATAACTCACACTTCGGTCGCAAATCGATTTATGTCACAATTCTGATGAATTGATTCTGAACAAAGGCGGGCGAAACAAAAGCGAGCGTTAATATTATTACATACTCCATTATACACTGTCACCCAAAACAGCACGAAATTTGTAGAGCATGGTGTTGTTTTAAACGGAATCACAAATACCGGTATCAGCAATGAACTGCACGATAACTCCGTTACCGCACATTAGTGTCGCCGTCCGTTAGACAGTGCCTTTTGTCTTCTCGTCTGACGTCTAAAAACCTACAAATCAGAATACCCAAAACTGTAATTTTGCTTGTGCTTTTGTATGGGTGTGAAACTTGGCCTCTGACATTAAAAAAGGAACACTGGCTTAGAGCGTTTGAGAAAAGGGAGTTGAGGAGAATATTTGGACCAAAGAGAGATGAACCAATAAGAGACTGAAGAATATTGCTCAATAGGGAGTTCCATAACTTGTATTCTTCTCCAAGTATAATTATAATAATCAAGTTAAGGAGAATAAGATAAGCAGGGCATGTAGCACGAATGAAGAGATGAATGCATACAGGATTTTGTCGGGGAAACCAGACGGAAAGATTACTACTATGAAGATGTAGGTGGAAGGATAATATTAGGATCTTAGATAGGATGGGGTAGTATGGACTGGAATGAGCTGGCTCAGGTGGAGGGCTCTTGTGAACACGGTAATGAACCTACGGTTCCATAAGATGTTGGGAAATTCGTGAGTAGCTGAGCGACTGGCTGTTTCTCAAGAAGGGCTCTGATTTAGTTTATCCATTTTTTTCCTTTGAGGCTGTAGCCCCAATTTGGGCCTTGGCCTACCTCAATGAAACTCTCCGTTTCACTTCGGTTCACTAGAGCTTAGACATCCGGTAGGACTCTTTGGGCGGATGATCAGCTCGTCGCAAGGCATCTACTTGAACACAAACACAGAAAAAAAACACACACACACACAAACACTAAACATTCATGCCCATGCAAGACCTCTAATTGTACACAAACACAGAAAAACACACACAAACACTAAACATCCATGACCATGCAAGGCCTCTACCTGTACACAAACACAGAAAAACACACACAAACACTAAACATCCATGACCATGCAAGGCCTCTACCTGTACACAAACACAGAAAACACACACAAACACTAAACATCCATGCCCATGCAAGGCATCTACCTGTACACAAACACAGAAAAACTCACAAACACACATAAACACTAAACATTCATGCCCATGCAAGGCCTCTACCTGTACACAAACACAGAAAAACACACACAAACACTAAACATCCATGCCCATGCAAGGCCTCTACCTGTACACAAACACAGAAAAACCCTAAACATCCTTGACCTCAGTGAGATTCAAACCCACGATCCCGGTTTCCAAGCGAGCGAAGACAGTGCATGCCTTAGTGTATCCGTTACTTAGTAGAAATTATTAATGCTCTTTTTTGTTAGGATAACAGCCAACACTATTACACAAGGCTATGCTTCAGAAGTACTAGCATGTAAATGTAAAGATTACCGTAGTCTAGGATGAGACGCTGTACACTCTTGTAAACAGTAACAACCGTTATGGAAAACTCCTCCATCGGTTTCAGCAAACTCTCGAGTGGCGAGTGAGTGAGCGTACGTGTGAGACCTTGAACCCAGGAGCCACATAATAACCCCGGTATCTAGCCTACTGTACATGCAAAATGGAGCCTAAAACTCTGGGGCAGGATCTGCAGTAAATCATGAATACATTGGGGTTTTCTGCTGCAACGGGGTGGATATCGGGCGAGTGTTTTACCTTCTGGGTCGAGTGGCCACGTGTCCTCTTCCCACAGATAACTCAAAAAGAACCACACTCCTGTTTAAAAATCCATTTGTACGTACATCCATTCTCCGATCCCTCTGGAAGCCAGGGGTCATGCGCACTGAAACACATGTAGATCAAAGTCCGTTTCAAGAAGTTCAAAGACGCCTAACGCCTAGAGGTGGGGGTTTCCTTGAACCGCCTCTGTGGTCTAGTGGTCAGAGTTCCTGCCTACAGATCCAGAGGTCCGGGTTCGATTCCAGGCGCTAACAGATTTTCTGAGAAGTAGTGGGTCTGGAACGGGGTCCACTCAGCCTCGTGAGGACAAATGAGAAGCTATTTCAAGGAAATTGTGGCTCCGGTCTAGAAAACCGAGATTAACGGCCGTGAGAATTCGTTGCGCTGACCACGAGACACCCTCTATCCGCTAAAGTTGGCACTAACTTCGCTGACAAGCGGCGGTCGCTCGGTCGGTTTAGTTGGCTTGCGGACTACAGGCCACGGAGTTTGCTTTTTTTTGTTTTGTTTATCGACTCTCTTGCATATATTATAGCTGCTAGGATCGTCAAGAAATTCATAATTTTTATATGGACCATATAATCTTAAGGAGACTGACACAAGAAGTTCTGGGAAGAGCTAATCTCCTACTTTCCTCTGACATGACACAGACCACAAAAAGGACGTCTCCAACAATTACAGGGAAGATACAGAGATACATAGACACACAGACTACTAGGTGATCACATAAACCTATTTCCATGTTTTAAAAATAGGGAAAGTAACAAAGATATATCCTCCATCTTCATGGTCGAAGAGTGGGCTTACTTGTTGCTGGTTACTTGCCCGGCTTTCTCTTCGACCGTGAAGATGGAGACGATATGTCTCTCCGAAACGTCGAACTTTTCTGAACTACAAGCGGTTACAACCGACAATAACTTACTTTTCAAAACCACTCATTTCACAGAGATTTCTCATTTTTTACGAAGTAACCATCGCAACTTAAATGCACAATTTTCCAGCTTCCCTCAGAATTAAATATTTTCCGTTAAGAATTTCTCTCTCAAGATTACTGTATCCTGGGATGTGACATCATGCAATCTGCTAAAAGTCTACATATGTTTCGGAGGAATATACTGCCTCCATTTCAGGGTTCAAGAGTAATCCTAGCCAGCAAGCAGCTAACGACATTCTTCACGCTCCTTAGTCACCTCCGTAAAAAACGCCAGATCTCCCAATTTGGCATCGTTTGTTTCAAAAACTAATATTTCCTATGTAATTTTACCAATTCGGATTTTTCTGTTGCCTCGGATACACCGAGAGATCTACGCCTTGACTTCGACACGCGTTTTCAATCACTCACAACTTGCATCAACATTTCCTTTCAATTTTTCGGGTCGTTCGTGATCTTTCCTCTGCCTGATACAATTGTGGTCATATTGTTCTGTCATTATTCCGTTAACTTCACTAATTTTCACACATCATGACCACAAAAATCGGATCACAGGTCAGCGTTCTCCACGAAGCAGTCCCGTTACATTTATCACAGTGGGGCCTATTATCACTAATTCAAGGACAACTGAAACTTACTAAGTTCAAGTGAGATAAGCTGAAATGTCCTTTACTCTCTGACTTTCCTTCGTTTATGAGACTGCACATGTGGCCTATTTACAGCTGTTATCATTCGTGTTCAATTGTTGAGATAAACGTTCAGTTTGACTATGCAAATATTATTATTATTATTATTATTTTCTTTGATTGATTTCTTATATGTATTAATGTTCTTTCCCCTAATGTTTACCTTTAATTAATCTCTGACTTTATGTTCTGTTTGTCCAGTACGTAAATACTTTTATCTACACTGCGCTGTGTCTGTAATTGGCCTTGCGGCTGTTGGCTCAGCACATAAATAATAAAGAATCGAACTGAACTGAACCGAATTATTATTAATTATGATGACCGGGGCTTGAAGCTGACCACTCACCTCCAGCCGGTGCCGAGGTAAAAACAATATGTCTATATGTTCACTCCCACATATGCCTTCATGGCGCAGCGCTTAATTGGTTAAGCACAGGGACAACTTTACCTCAGCTATGATGATAGACAAAGGTCTGTATGTGCGACCTCTGCTTTTTCTCTCAAACGGTGCGTCGCAGAAAAGTTGGTAGAGATAAATACAAATATTTTCCTCTCGAAAAGACAATTACCGGGAAATTCGTCAATTTTGCTCTTACATCCATGGGTTCGAGTCCAAGTCGCCTCTTTTTCCCTTATTTCCTCGACATGAAAAGCCTCCAGATCATGATGGCAATGAGTAAGTGGACTTCTCATGCTTCGTAGTAACCATGGCAACGAGGCGACAAAATGAACCTGAAGACAATACATACATAAACATGATAGGTTTCTACAGTAACTAGATTATGACGTGATATATAATAAAATTGGTTTCCAAAATTTGAACGTAGAGCCCTTTGCACGGTGACGCTGTGGACTGCCTCCACTATCCAGGAAACATCCATACATGGCATACAAAAGACTTACAAAAGTGTCTGTTGAGGTAAGAAGGAAGGTTACTGCATTTGTGAACTCACACCTTTACTTCCCCTAGGGACAAATGTATGTGTATATATGAAAAAAAAACGTTTCCTTCCCTCTGCAGTTCATACTGGCGGGCAGCAAGGACCACAGCAACCGGTTCCTCCAAGTCCCAAGAGCCTCAGAAAGACGTGACTGAAGAAAAGGAACATAAAACCACTTGCAGAAGAAACAAGAATTTATTGAGATTAAGTCGATGGACGTATAAGGGGACCTGCAGTGTAAGGTAGGAGGCACGTGTTGTGTAACAAGTGCAGTGCAGCCCAGGGACAGGTTTGCAGGCCAGCATCGAACCAGCAACTTCAAACCCTTACAAATGACGCACTTGGGGGTACACCGCAACAGGGTTTAGAATCACAGTGAGAGTTATGGACAATCTGGAACACTCAGTGGGTAGGAGCTGGCTTTCAAGTCAACTTCATTCAAAGCTTGTTTTTCTTTTCTCTCGTCTCAACACTTTTCTTCTTCTGGGTTTTGTATAGCCACTGAACTTTGAATGAGAATATATTGAGACACAAACGGCAAAGGCACAAAATAGAGAAAGAGACGACGTAACTAACTTACTGCCTGGTAACAGAACCCGAAGTTTCAGCACTACTAATACAAAGACAATCATAAAACATGATCTTCAGCCAGTTTCAGCCACCTCTGATTCAAATCCCTAGAAACTGTATTAATGTTATCTTTTCTATTCCAACTGCTTATATAAATCATGTATTTAAGCATCGTGTTGCATTATTGAATACGAAACTGTTTATTGTTCTACACAGTCCGTCAACAATGCAACAATTGTTCCTTCTTTCTTACACTTCACTTCCGACACAACACGTTTCGGCCCTAAATGACCATCTTCAGGTGTCTTACTATGCTAAAACTGCTACACTGCACTAATATTATCCATTCGTCGCATAAGCCACTGCACGCTTCATCATTCAAACCGTCATAGTTGTGGTCTAACTGGTGTGCGCTAAAATAGCACACGCTGTAGTTCACTTAAATAAAAACAAATACCTGTAAAATCTGTAAAAAAATTGTGTTCAAATTTTCTAAAATTCTTATTACACTTCACAAATGGCGTCGTCCATTTGTTTAGATCTGTTCCCTTTTCTTCAGATATTTTATTGCAGCAGTCTGTTTCTCTATTCGTAAGCCCGTTGTTGTGTTACGTCTGCAATCTCTAATTTAGACCCTTGCTTGTGTGTTGTTCCCTCTAGCAGCGTGTGGCGTTTTCTTCACTTATATCAAATCAGAGGGATCACTACAGTGCACCACAAAACCTTAGACTGAGTCAGATGAATCAGTTATCACATTCTCACACACCTCGTTAAAAGGGTCCATACACGTACGAGTCTGGCTCGCGAGACCGGCTCGGCGAGCTTGACTCGGGAGCTGGGGTCGGATTAATTTCACCACAAACGCATGAGCTGACTCCCAACTTTGCGACCCACACACGGATAAGTTTGGCTCATTGGAACCCGAGCCGAGTCGGACTCGCGAGGCAGACTCGTATGTGTATGGGCCCCTTAAGATCCACCGTAATGTACCGTCATATCTGCTCTGAGGCCTTCTAAACTGTCTCTTCCTTTCACGTCTGCGTGCATTTTTCCCTCTTCACCTAACTCTGCTCGGAGAGTAACGAAGCGTACTGGAAGACACGCGTACAAAACTTCCCTCATTCGCACTCGCTCAATACGAAGATCCCATAACTGAAACTTCAAAATCCAGTAATTTAAACGACCCTCATGTGAACCAGTCTATCACTCTCAACTCCACTGAACACTGTTCACAATAGCTTCATTGTTTATTGTTCAGTGATGGATGTGAAGCTGTCAGAAGATTTATCGTGAATGATTCTGTCCACTGACGGACTATGCATAGTGTTAGGTGTCCTCTCGCCCCGCCCCGCGGCCACCACCCGGCAACATAATCCAGTTGCAGCCTATGATCTCTCGCAGGCAGCTGCACAATGGAGGACCCACTCTATATTAATTCAGTACCCACAGCACAGTATCAAGAATAATATTAACAATGAAACAGAGANGAGTATTCGGTTCGGATCTCGGAGGGGGGACTGACTGTCTTTACTAATATTTTTCGTGGTTTTCCTCAGCCCTCAGAGGCGAATGGTTTGATACTGCTTTGAAACGGGCTACGGCCGCTTATTTCCATATAGTTCCTAATTAATCATCCAGTAATTAATCCTACCATTCGACGCTATATAGGATGGATCACTAGCAGCGTTTTTACATAAGCCGTAAATATATAAGATTCAGAGATATGCATGGTTAAACCATGCTGGGTCAACAGCGATTCCTACTGAGTGTGCAACAATGCCAGTTCGTTCGAACTCTTTGAATAAGCGTCAACAATGTCTTAACAAATAATTTTACCTCATCTCTTCCCTTCTGTTCTCCTTCCTGCTGGTACGTAAAGACCATACACGATATAATGCATAAAACGATGTACTCTTTCGGGAACGTAATATCGGTAAGATGAGAAAAGATCCGTGGCCTTTAGTCCGCAAGCGAACTATACCGACCGAGCGACCGCGGCTTGTCGTCGAAATTAGTGCCAACTTTAGAGGATAGAGGGTGTCGCGTGGTCAGCGCAACAAATTCCCACGGCCGTTAATGTTGGGTTTCTAGACCGGAGCCGCTATTTCCTTGAAATAGCTCCTCATTTATCCTCGCGAGGCTGAGTGGACCCCGTTCCAGACCCACTACTTCTCAGAAAATCTGGTATCACCGGTAATCGAACCCGGGCCTCTTGATCTGTAGACAGGAACTCTGACCACTAGACCATAGAGGCGGTCCGGTAAGATGAGAAAAGCATTAAAATTTTGATCCGAATGCCTGATGGAGGCAGACAATTGTTGTAAGACGAACGGTTCTGATAGCGGAAGTACTTGGAGAACGAGCAGTTCACATAATCATAGAGTTTCGGTCATAACAATTCGGAGCAGATAAAAATGAGGACCTATGCATAAATTTTGTGTAGTCCTACTGTCAAATTTGGATACCCTTGACACTTTTTATTCAACTTACAGTCGACGGAATCAATCATACCATGTGGTCAGAGAAACCTAAAGCCCTTAAGGCCATTTTTCTCATATTCAGACTCTCAAAATCGCCTTTAGCAATACATAGATCTCGTGGCTGGAGGAACTTTTTCTGTCAGGAAAATTCCAGTAACCCTGAGCGGGGTTTCTATCCGTCCAATATCTGAAATAACAATAGCAAACGTCAGTTCGTTCAGCCGCGGGTGCGCAGCCTTCGCGACTTTTATTATTCTGCTCAGCTTGCAAAATATTATCCTCTTTCCTCTCTGGTTTATCTCTGGGAGCTGCGAAAATATGGAGGAACCATCTGCAAGCAGAGTTTGCAGGAAAATGTTGAAACAAAGGCAAGCTGCTATCCAACGAACAAAAGAAACTACTTCAAAATAGACATTGAATGGTTAGAGACAAAATTACTTCTGGCGAGTTCGAAACTAAAATGTCGAGAGAAAAAAAGACATGCGCCTAAGAGGCGTCCTCATTTCTCTCTGTCCTATGTGGAAAGTCGAAAAAAATTCTACACGGATCTTCGTTATATCCAATATGGGGGAGCTTCAATAACATCTGTTGAGATATTATAATTTTGGTCATAACTGGACACCTTACATTAAGAATTAAATGTTAATCAAAGCGTTGATACCTGTGTGCCGATCACAGTGACCGCGCGGTATAAGGAATGAAACGTTTACCCCCGCTCGAACGCTGGGACTGTGGTTTCGAATCCCACTCAAGTCATGTATGTTTGCGTTTATTCTGTATTTGTGTTGTCCTTTGTAGGTAGCGGCCTTGAGTTGAGCTGATCCCCCGTCCAAGGAATCTATCGACTGTCTAAGATTAAGAAACTGAAGAAAAACGAAGCGGTCCACGGATGTCCTATGTTCGAAGTCGCAGCAACAGGAAAATGGACGGACGGATGTATGGATAGAAGGACGGACAGACGGACAGACAGANTGTATGGATGGAAGGACGGGAGAAGGACAGGTAGGCAGACAGACAGACAGACGGATAGATGGATGGATGGACGGGCGGACAGAGACAGACGGACGGACGGACNACAGACGGACAGACAGACAGACAGACAGATATAGATAGACACCCATGCACGAGACTACACGGTGTTATCCCAGAAAACAGTAATCTTCGTAACACATCTGAACTCTCTGTGCTAGGGTGAGGAGATATCTCATTCAGAAACAACCAAAAATTTCGCCGAAATTTGTTTAGCGGTTTGCAAATTGAAAATATTCGAAATTACAGAGAGACGGACATATATACAGAATGACGCTAACAGCCGCATGTTTTCATCGTTGTAAAGGAGTTTAGAAAGGTTAAGGCTGGGGACACACGAGCTCACGAAGTACGTCCGTTGCAACGAACGTACTTTATGACGGACGTTGCTGAGGACACCACACAGTTGTAGAATGCGGTGCGCAGTTTTTTTGTCTGCAATGGAGCCAGAAGAAAAGCGTAGCATTCGCCTCTCTTGTTTATTTCTACAATGGACGTCACGACGTTAGTTACAACGGGCGCATTTTGTGGGTTCGTGTAGCCCTAGCCTAAAAGGAAAGCTGTATCTTTAATTTATTCAAAGGATAGTTTGTTCTCTTTTTCTTTCGCCCAAATGTTCACATTGGCAGGTACGAATGGTTACTACGGGCGGGTTTCCTTCTCAAGTACATCTACTACCCCGCAGGATTACATTGCAAATGCCACTGTAATC